TGTTAAAGTATATAATTCCCATTTAACCACTGAATTAACGACGCAAATGTTAAATATTGTACTCACATTAGTTTGTTAATGTAAATTCGTCTTCGTGCTTCTAACTCCATATACAGTATTGTTTATATGTAAAACGCCACCTGAAGATGAATCAAAAACAATTCATTATTCTTTTTCTAAAGCGCACTTCCTTTATGATGGTAAGATAACGATGGAGTTATGATGATATTGATGATGATGATGATGATGATAGTGGTGGTTATGATAATATTTATGACATAAATCAAGATAGCCTTTAACACTGTTAAATTAGTGCTCGAATAAAGAACTTTTATTCGAATACTGTATTACTTTTCTTTGATTTTATATATATATAATTCAGGGGCGGATTTAGAGGGGGGCTTAACAGAATTTAGCCCCCCCTAAAATTTCATAGCCATTTCTTTTTAACTGCTTTTTGAAGTCCAAATTAAAATACTGTTTAATGTTTTCTTCACACACATCATATTTATGGGCTAAAAATTTTACAGTAGTTGTTTTTCAGTGATAAAATAAAAATGAAATACGTTTTTTAACCGATCAGCGGACAAAAAATGTAGCTAAGAAAGCTGCCTTTGCCTACTTTTCAAAGGGGGGGGGGGGGGAACATCATATCAATTGCCCCCCCCACTTTTCACCAATCTTCTATAATTAAAACCCCACTTTTACAAGCGAATGGGAAGAATAACAATTACGCATGACTCATGTATTTTGTTTGTTCACTTTTCTAAGTGCGGTACGTATTTTCCGGACCAAAACCAAGTAAAAACGCAACATTTTGTAACCATCTCAGAAACCCACTAGATCGATTTTATGGGTGCAACGACTATCAGAGGCTAAATTTATTGTGAAAACAATGTACTGAACGTTGTTGAAATTGGAAGCATGTATCCTTATTAGGCCAATATTTTTACAAACTCAAAAGTGCACAATTTCTAATATAAACGATTTATTCTTTTTGTATATTATTATGAACCGTACGTATATTCTAGTGTTTAATATTATCTACATACATAAGATTACTGTTTTTTCTAATTTCACGGATATGATGTCTACCTATTTCGATTAAGTGATAAGCCAAAAGTTTACAAACTCCAGTGTTACGTTGACGCAGTCTCGCAATGACGCCATAATAATCAGTGGCAGATTCAAGTGGGGCCGAGTCGGCCCTGATTTTTCCAAAATTATTTTTTAAAAATGGGAAAAAAAAAACAAAGGAAAATTAGAATTAGAATTTTGGTCTGAGAGTGCCATTTCCGGCAATCTAGAGGTGTCATAATCATAAATTTTCTTGGTAGTCCAGCTACACTCTCCATCTGTAAAAGTCCCTCTCTGGGCCCAGCTCTATTTCAAATTACTGAATCCGCCACTGGATATTTTAAAAATTTCGTATGGAAATAAATGTTAATTGCATTGCTTAAAATCAATTAAAAGGCTATATGCACCAGAGCTTCCGGGGCTTCGCCCCCTGGTCCCCAACCATTGCTTGGGCCTACGGCCCAAGGCTTTATTTTTCATCTCGTCCGCCCACTTTCAGCCACAGATCGATGCCCTTGGGTCAGAGGCAGGTATTTAAACGTTTGTATGATACACTGAACATTTCGTGTCGAGAGAGTTGTTCCAGTTTAGTTTTTTCTTGATTGCTTGTCGTCGGATACTACTACTACATT